CTTCTTTGTCATCCTAGGTGTCTTTTCGCTGCTAACCCAGTGTCTGAAATCTCCGTCCGTCGAAAAGGTTGACCATCCCGTTGAGTAAGTGTTACACTGAGCCAATACCGTGGACAGGATGATCAAGTGTCACGATAACTGGTCCTCCCTTGAATCCTGGTGCCATTTGTCGCAAATGTCATTGCTTGTCGTGTAATTGCGAAATACTGCCTAGCAGCCGGAGTATGTAGTGCACATATATCTCTCAACACGACTTGGGTGCGCAAGAATCCGATACTTCAACTTTTATAGCGCTTGTCGAAATGATTCTACGTTGTTAAATGTGGTACTGACAGAACATCAGATACAGACAAGCAAAATTTTAAGGTCATTACTACCATCTATCTGAGCTCAGGAAATGTAGCTTGCGAAACCGCAAATTTCTCACAATTGCGGTTTACAAACTGAAGCCTTGCAAACATCGGAAACTACCCACTTCGAAGATATCTTCGACGCACAAGGATACGCACATAATAATACTGTCGTCCACATTCACTATGTGGTGCGATCCCTCGCTCGTACTCTTGATCCTTTGCTTCACTGTGAATAGGTTGTTGCATTTACATGCGTACTGACAATTGTCTACCCTATACACAGGACACAGTGTCCCTATTACCGAGGTGTGCAGCTTTGTCATAATTTCAGTTGCAACACTTCACCGTATTTTAGCCCGGCCAGCGGTGGACAAGTTGACTGAGTATTACTCTAGACTGGCTCAACGTCGTTCACTTTACTTCGTATCGGGCCCCAATACGCTGCGTATCTTCAACCCAATTTCATTTACCTAGTCCAACCTTCCCTTGAAAATCTTCCTAACCAGCCTTAGTCCTCGCGATTAGCATGAAAGCACTTGTCAACCGACGGGGTGGAGGGACGTACATCCCAACGATCAAGACAATATCCAAGTCGTACTGGACAGCCAATCGGGCCTCTCTGGCAAGCAAATTAAATTGGGCCTGCTGTATGAATGCTTGCTTTTACATCTAAAGTGCAGCTTCCGAACCGGCTGATGTGGATTCCGAACTTGACAGACCAACTTCCAATCGGGTAACGAATTAACCACCAGTGCACTCAAATACTGCGGACAAACAGCGCACAGAGACGGTTTCCATTACACACACGATTCATTCGTTCAGCTTCAATGACCCCATCTTGTCTGGCAATGGAACCGTTTGCGAACTCGCATCTGCGCATCTATCAATTCCTCTCACTCCTAGAAAAGGCTGACATGACGTGCACAGTAATTGCATATTCACTACTATTCAACTATCCACGCCGATATCCCATTCTGTGATATATCTGACGGCAAACTCACTTGATCCTACAATGCGCTCTCCAAACATCCTAGTTTTCCGAACAAAGAAACTCTATCTACATTATTTCAGGCTAATCATGAAAAAGTACGGCGCAGTGAAGGCCAGCACGAAAAGGACCATAAGTTGAACATATCACTCGGACATGGCTCACTGGAAGCCGGTCCCGTGTCACTCCCTTGCGCTAGACATCAGATATCGCTTCAACCCCCGTACGAGCACATAAACTTACGCATGTGCATACATATTTTGAAAACACTGTGAATACTCACGCGTCCCTAGGCGCTGCCAGTGACGTGTTATACAACCAGATAGGTAAAATACAGGCCAGCAACGTGATCAAAAGATGTCATTCTATTTTGTAGACGATTAGAAAAATGTACACGCATATGTCGAGTAGCGTTACGACATCCCACAACGCTGATATCCTTGCTGGCTGCTCCGGCAATACTTTCAAGGAACTTCAGCCTCTATTCCATCTGCACCATGAGTTTATGGGGATCACCGGCCAAAGTTCCTCGTAGTGTACTCTCATCTCATTCTTCACTCTGGCGTTCACCACCTGCCAAACATTCTCGATCGAATTGAGGAACGGAGAGTATGGACTCAATCTCAATATGGTTATTCCTTCGTATCCATCTACTGACGACAGTTCTTCCAGTGTTGTGTGCCATGGTGCATTATCACACACCACGACAACCTGCCGGAGCACCATCTTCCGTTTCAGATTGTCTAAATAGCTTCGCAGCCATTCGAGAGATAGGGGACCTGTGAATGAGCCTCTCTGGGTGATCATCGACACTTTCTCTTCCATTGTGAATGCACCGATCAAATGCAATTGGATGTCTTTACTGTTGGCAACTTTGCAACGGGCCCTCACTTCTCTGGGCGCCCGACCACGAGTACGTTTGCAGTAGACGTTGAAGTTTGCTTCATCAATCCAAATGAAGAACTTGTCATCACTTTCAAGTTGGAGAAACTGCTGAACGAATTCCTTACGTATCCCTTTGGTTCGCTCATTGTTCATTCCTTCGGGAACCTGATAGATGTTCTTCATAGTTATCAATCGACCATCTAAATGCCGTGCGATTGTTGACTTCGAAATGTCCTTGTCCATTTCTGCTCGTACTCGCATTTTCCGTAGCGTAAGAGTTGAGTCCCTTGCAATCCAATCCAGGATGTCATCTACATCTTCCTCCGACAGAGTCCGCTTACGACCGCGCGCCTGCGTAGTATTCGGGTCCTGAACAAGAGAATGACGAATACAGGAGTAGGCTGTTTGATATTTGACGTTGTTCACAGTTGTCACCAGCTGCCAGTCATCACCGCTGACGAAGGCGCTCAAAACTCGGTCACGAATGTCTGATAAGATACTCTGTCGAACGCGAGAAGGCATGCGGACGACGTCAGTATCATAGAAATAGTTTCGGTCATGTGCTTATGTTTCAGCTGTGCATTGCTCTCCGACCAATTGTGATTCACCGTTTCGGACGTGAGGGGGCGCATACGAGCCCGTTGCACCGTCGAAGTGCATACCTCTAAGGCTTATTCACAAGTCTCACCCAGTCAACGGGCAGCGCGCTCACCTCTCCAGAATAAGGCACCGAACCTTGGAATGGGGCCAATGAGAACACACTTAAGATCAGAGGGTTGACTCTGAGCGGCTGGCGAATCGCACAGTGTTTTGCAAAATTTTGCGCATTCTTTTTGGACAATTTTGGGCTTTTATGCAACTTTGCGGGAAATGATATATGGTACAGGACTCTACACATTTGCATATTTATCGGGAAAATATTCCCTGAGCAGGCAGTGCACAGGGCACATAGATTCGCGAAATCCAAGGCATTTTTTTTATCTCCCCGGACCAAACTACGGTGGGTCGCCAACAAATATAGTGGTTGCAAAAACGTATATCATTCATTTATTATACACGTTTGCTTGAGGTGGAAAACACTTCATTTATTGTGTTGTTACGGAGGGATGCCAGGTGAGCCACAAATAAAACGGATGATCATCGTTTCGGAGAACTAACAGCCGGTTACTGTGCCGCAAAAAGTTATGTTGTGTCGGAATGGAGATTGTGGTCGGAGGAGGAGGGACAAATAAACTCACTGAGGTTGGCTCCTAGCCAGGTTAAATAGTGCATTCAACCAAAAGGGTTCATAGTTTTTGGGCTTTAACCGAGGACGACTAAGAAATAAGGACCAGGTCATCGTGTGGACAATGTACATCGCGGGAGTCGGTGTGATGGCATGCGCAAGGCGTGGCCTAGCCATCGGAGCCAAGTTCGCGAAAGAGTAGAAACAAGTAAAGCGACAATTTATTGAGGCAGTGGGTTGTCCTGTGTTTAGCAACTGACGCTCGTAGGTTGTCAAGCAATTCCGAATAGCCCGCCCCAAATCGCAGAACGTCCCGAGATTCGATTATGTGTATAACTGCAGGTATGCATGTCCTAAGTGTAAAGATCCTTGAGGCAGAACGTTGTTACTACCTCCCCCCCCCGCATTGTGGTCAACCAGAGTGGCCGTAAGTATTCCGCTATTGTGACACGGAACTGCTAACACGTGACTTATTCAGGCAATGAAGATAAATCGATAAATAGATCAGAAAAAAGTGCAAAACGACTGGTATGTGGACACGCTATAGGGGCAATAAAAATGCAGGTATACTTGTGTGACCGTTCATGGCTGCAAGCTTTCGTTTTGCTCTGGCGGTTCACTGATGTTTGTTTTAACTTATAATTTCGGTAGCCCTATGGGCTGCTTGGTCGTTATTTTTGCCTTCAGATCGTAGCTCTAATTGACGCTTACACTGTCACTTTTCCAAGTGGCATTTGCTGTATCCGTTGTGTGGTTGGATTACGACTTGCAACCTCTATTCAGACCTCGGTCCTCTTTGAAGTAGATCTCGGTCATTACAATCACAAGGGTCCTAACCGAATTGGTGATCCGGTGTTGCTCCTCCAAACCCTGACACCCCATAACCGGTTTCGTCCTCCTTTGGACTCATCAGATGGAAATAGCTTGAGCTGGGGTGGATCTCGAAGCCTAGTGTTCAAAGGTTGACGCCTTGACCACTATGGCTCTAAGATCCGCGAGGAACGCTTGGCACAGCGGTAAACAATTCCAAGTAGTAAGGAATTCCAAAAGCCAATTGGAATTCTTTATCGCCGTGACAAGAGTTGCTCACGGATCTTAGAGCCATAGTGGTCAAGGCGTCAACCTTTGAACACTAGGCTTCGAGGTCCACCCCAGCTCAAGCTATCTCTATCTGATGAGCCCAAACGAGGACGGAACTGGTTATGGAGTGTCAGGGTTGGGAGGATCAACACCGAAACACTAACTGACAATCTGCATGCTTTGTGTGCATCTGATTGGTTCCTTAGTTGTTCAGTCCTCATTCATTTTGTCTGTCCGCACATTTTCCACACTGGCTGGCTTTGTGAATCATGCTATAGAATGAAATCGTTTCCCTATGTAAAAGAATCCTGAATCTGGTTCCTGCATCTTCAATATCTCAATATCGTTAGTGATTGTAAGCAATCACGGGACTCGACACCACAGGGTACACATGGCATAGCCCAGACTTATGTAGGAAAAAAGAGGGATTGATTTTGCGTACCAATCCAAGCGGATCGGGTGAACGTACCCAGCGTTAATCTCCTCACTGCTCAGTTGGAAGAGAACGTCGACGGAGGTGATCCCGAATATGTAGTCGCCAAATCGCAACAGACATGGATCCCAAACAAAGTGAATGTTCTTGTACCAGGATGCCTGCAAAACAGTAAGATGCACATCATGAACAGTAGTAACCATAGGTAGTTCAGTCAAGTAGAATCACAAGCAGAAGTCGCGGTTGGTTGGGTGCAGATGACGAGGCAACAACGCGATCGGATTGCAGCATCTCGTATTAAAATGGATTTATGTCAGTAACATGTCAGACGTATGAAGAGGCGCTCGAGAGCACCTTGAACAGTCACATCTATGAAACCCACACCAGGTTCGAGAGCGAATCGTATGATAAACAATACAGAAATGCTCATGTAGTATGAGTAGGTATTGACGGAACGGTTTTGTCGAATGTATTGTCACCAAAAACACAAGTTTCACCGGCGCGAGATGACCAATTTAGTTCAATTACTCAACTATGATCCGAGAGACAAAACGTGGTGGATTCAATTGGCACGACTTCTGACGCCGGGGGAATAAAACGAAAGATAAGAAAAAGTGGCATAAAAAAGCAAACTAAAGTGACGATCACAAATACGACAGAAAAAGCTTTGAGAAAGGCGAAATGGGTGAAAAAAAGATAAAGATGCAAGAAAGTATACACAAGGGCGTCACAAGTTTTGCGATTGCACCATTTTAGAAACAAGCGGAAAATGAGTTGCATCAAATCAGCCATGTCATTTGGCCAGCTTCTGCATGCTATGTCCTTTGGTTGATCACGACGGAGCATAAACCAATCGCAGAAGTAACATACGACGCCCTACACGATGGGCATGCACGCGAACTACAAAAGTGTCCATACTGCTGCACCAAAAGCTTCATCTAAAGACCAGTTGGTGGGTGTCAGCGGTACTCACATAGTGGCGTCACGTGACGTGAGCAACGCTACAAAAGCATGGTGTCCAGAAAAGATCAGTCGTTTGACGGAGTGTGGTGACAGTTGCACTGCAGTACAGCACATGCCTCTGATCGATGCACCAATATCCCACCTTCTTCCTAGATAACTGAGACAACCTGCATAGGCCCTACCAATAAGTACCGTGATCTCATCTGGGATTTCCGCGCTAGAGTTGACACAAACAACAAGTCCATTTAACATCCAGTATGGATGACACCTAGGTCAGATCACGAAGAGCGAGTGTATCGGCCGTCGGACAGCAGCATTTTTTCGCAGTTTGTAGACGCGAAGCAATAGATAACTAGTTCGGCTCAAAAGTATGACAGCAGAACCCTGTTCTGCTGCGTTCGAAGATAGTAACTGACACATCTACTGAACGTTGGATAAATCGTACGTTCTCGGGCCGCAGCAGATCTACTTGTGATCACGGCCAACCGCAGGTGATTTTGGACGGGTTTGCATCTCGATGAGTTGAAAACACCTTGTCTGAGGTGGGTCGAATTAGATAAGTGAGCGACGGAATATGTTTTCTACGTCAAATGAGCCGAAATTACGACCAACGGCTGTTGACTCCCAATGTTGCGGGAAAAGAGCCATGGACATGTTCCTAAACCTGTATGGGAAAGGCGCTGAAACTGAGCCTATGCTAATCCAGCCATTATGAGCGCCACCTAACCAAGCTCGATGGACCAGGGATGTGTGCATACTGGTAATTCACATGTCAAGTAAAAAGAGTCGAGGTTGTAGATCTGACTGTCAGTGATGAACAGCAGGCGAGCAACGACAGCGAGTCTTAGTGAATATTCAATGTCAGAACTCACTGCGGATAGGCATGCAAATCCGATGTCATCCTTACATACATTCGGATGGATGTTACGACTCCCACCAGAAAGAACAACATATTAGATCCGATATTTACTACTGGCCTAATACGTGAATCCGCTGATGTTCTGGAACACTTTCCTGGTAGTGATCACAGGGTGCTCTCCATTTTGTTCACAAATAACTCCCGACTCCCAAAAAACGAATGCGCCGAAGACACAAATGCTCTCAAGGCACCATGAATCAGTTGATTGGAACTCGTGTGCTAAGTTACTCCGGCATGCTCAGTGGGACTATTGCTTCCTCACCGATGACCCGCAAGTTGCAGTTCATGCTCTATATAACAGTATCAATCTTTGTCCCGACGCAATGGCCCCTATCAAACATAGACACTTTCCCTCAGGTCGTAAAAACGCTGTTTCACGAAACACAGCTGTTATACCTAAAAAACTAATTACGGCATACCACAAAACGAATAACTTCTCATCCCTGATGCAACGCCATAATTTGGCCACATCGCTGGAACTGGCCTATCACAAGAAACAAATGGTTGATCATAACCGGGCTAGCGGCAGTCAATTCAAAAACTGTGAAATAATCAATATTTTTAATTGCAGATCTACCAAGCGTATCCATGGTACAATCTCACACCAGATGGCTGTAACATAGCGCATTCTGCTCAAACTACTACAATGTTCAACCAATATTTTTGCACCTCCTTCAACGTGGCCATCGAACCCCTATGCATGGTCTTGCTACTAGTCACTGTAGATCAACTCAACTGTAGCAGATTTGAGCTTCACGATATACAAAGACTTAACAAGTGCACAACAGTATCATACTTCGGGGGTCTAGATAATATTCTCTTCGTAGTTATGAAATTGGATGGGGATGACATCCCCCTGCTATTGCGAAGTATGTTTAATCTAGCCATGAAAAACGGCACCGTACCAACTCAGTGGAAACAAGCTATAGTTGTGTCGCGACATAAATCAGGCTCACTTCTCAAGTTTAAAAGTTATCGACCAATAAGCCACATATCGATCCCATCAAAAATCATGGAGCGACGTGTCAGAGAAAAGTTATCGGATTCCTACTATCAAGAAAGCTAATAAAAGACTCATAACACGGTTTTTTGAAAAATCGGTCCTGCATTACGTTCCATCTGGAATTTCTGAACAATATAACTGCCTCGCATGGTCTTGGTATGTCGGCTATAATACTTTGCCTTTGACCGAGTGCCTCATGCAAATCTGGTAGCTAAATTGATGTCATACGAGATAGGTAAACCTCTGCTTTCTCGGTTAAGGTCATACTTTATAAATTGAACGCAGGTGGTGCGAATTCGAGAATACAGATCTGAGTCTACAACTGTCACCAGTAATGTGATACAGGGAAATGTCCTTGGGCCATTAGTGTTCTTACTTTATGTTAACGACATTCTCGAGGTGGTAAAATCCGGTACACCATACCAGTTTGCCGCTGACATTAAAAGCGTATAGACTTTCAGTCCGGAAGCTTCCAATCACGTCATTGATTCCTGCGCGGTGGCAGCATATTGAAGCTGCATTATTTCTTATCCGGGTGCGATACGCTATTTATACCAGTAGTCTGCAGTGGGCATCAAGGAACCCCTTAAATTCTGACACCGATTTCGCCTCGACTTGCACCTTCGGCAATATGTTCCAATATTTCAACACTCGACGCTCGAAGCATAGAAGGTGAGTGATGCGCTTTAAATCCAGTAGTTTGTAGCGGTGTTCGCTTGTGCTACTTGGTGTGCGAAGGTGCAGCAGAGGCCACAACATAAAGAAGTGGCCCAGGTGCAGTATCTGGTGCGTCATAATGAGGTCAACTCGAACCCGACGGTATGACAGGGTATAAAACCCTAATCTCCTACATCGGTCCTCGTACGACACACCCCGTAAACTGGGGATGAGCCGGGTAGCTACATGATAGACCCGTCCCAGTCTCTGCATCTCACTTTTCGTCATCGGACAATAGGCGGGTGAGCCGTACTCAAGCACCGGTCTTATTATGAAAGAGACAGGCGGCAATCTCTTCAGACCAAAGACAGAAACTGCGTCTAACGGCCCAAAGACCGTATAGTCCGTTTGCATACAGTCTGTTCGTGTTGTCGACAGACTTCAGATCCTTTACGGAACTGGTGGAATGCAGTAGGTGGCCGGCAAGGATGTACGCACGCCCATTATCACCTCTCCCCAGGCTAATAAACTTGGCCGTGTTGACCGGTACGTCAACTTCTGCAGTCCACTGGGATAGGCGGTTGACGTGCTGCTGAAGGACGTTACATTCACCAGGAGAATCAATAATCCTCCAAATATTCAGGTCGTCTGCAAATAATGCGCAGGGTGACCGAAGAAGCTGAAGTACTTCGTTGAAGTGGATCAGGAACAAAATGGGCCATTGATGCTGTCAATCTGATCCAACGCGACCTCTATGTACTTGAAACTTGGTGCTCAGTGTGGAAAATGTCTTTCTTTAGTGACAAATGTTGTACAATGTCCCACTAATGCGATTTGACTCTTGATGGCAAACCACTTAATCTATGCCCTACGGTTAGATAGCTGGGTTTGCGATATTCATACTCACTTGACTTTCATGAGCAGGTCGGATATGCTACCTCGTGGGCAAGACAGAAGATTGGTATCGTATTCGGGACTTATTCCCAACATAAATCAATACTGCATTCTTACAAATCAGTTGTTTGACCCAAATTGGAATATTGTTCAAAGGTGTATGTGGTAGCTCAAAAAGATGCGATCACATTTCACTGGAACAAGTACAGAGAGCATTCATAGAGCGTCTACTTGGTACTTCTTTAAATCTGGAATATTCGGAACGACGTGATAAGCTGAAGCTTGATCCGTTCTGACTACGGCGCATGAAACACAAGTTAGTCATATTCTTCAACATCTTGCACAGAAATATACATGTTTCCAATCTCAACATGACATTAATGCAATCAGCTGGATACAATGCACGAAACAAACAGAACTCAATGGCGGAATGCAAGTCCACAACAAGCAGGTCTGCCAACGTTTTCCTTAACATGTATGCCGGAGTATGTAACAAGCTACCACCAAGAATACGTGCCCGCACTATTGAACACAAATTTCGAGGAAGCATCAGCAAGTTCTTGTCTGTACAGAACGTGATCAGACTGATTGACTGTGCCATAACAAAAAGCTAAGCGTACGAGCATGGTCTAGGTTTCAAATGATCTAGTGCAGGATTCACCATCATACTATGTACCGTGGTGCAGCTGTTTTATATACGAGAGAACAGTTAAAAGCCAAGCAACATAATTTCAACTCAGTAAATGGCAGATTATATGTTCCTTGTCTGTTTTGATATGCGACTTTCCCGATCCACCTGCGATTAACATACTATAAAGCAAGCATATACACGATTTTGCCGATATATGCGTATCTCGCATCGTCGAGAAGGAAAGTTTATTTATTTGTTTACAGTGAACATACATACTAAAACGAATAGACAAGCTGTTAGACAAGATGACATACAGGCTCCTTAAGTGCGAGCTGCCAATGATAAAGTATGCAGCTGAGGTGAGTTGTCTGCTCTTGGTTTCTGAATGCGCCTTTTCTGTATCAGTTCGATTAACTTCCTATGATAGTATCAGTTCGAATGGTGATAAATATCGTTCAACTATGCGATTTAAACTCCTTCATAGTCAATGGTTTTCCAAAACCACCTATATGGCTACGGATCAGTTGATGAATTATGTTTTGGAAGCCGTTGCCGGTGGAGCCCATCCAGTCCCTGGTGAGGACGGTTGCGTGGACGCCAGTGGTGAATGAGCAGTGCTATGCCATAACTACTTACTCAGCCATGTCGGTCGCTGCTTCCCAGCGGTCAAAAGTAGTAGCATGGCATTTAGCGGTCAACGCGCCAGATGTATCGCGCACCACAGGTAACTCAGTGAAAGATGTGACGGCTGTCCTACACTTTCTGGGTGCTTAGAGTCATATAGAACGGAGTCCAGCTGTAATGAGTGTCACCCATATATACGAACTAAAGTCCTACACTGCTCGATAATAAACTTATTTTGCCTTAGCACTTGCATCCAAACTGTAAACTTTGAGAGCTTTTTAACACCCACAAAGTCCCCGCCTGCTATTGTGGAGTGCGTTGTGTTCCCTGTGATGCGCCAGTGTAGAAAAATGATAATATGTGTGCCAAGAGATGAAACAGAAGCTCGATACAAATAAATCGCTTTCTTGCAGCTTAGGGCGGGGTAACGGAAAACCGACAACATACAGCATGAGCACAGCCAAGTTCAACTGGCATGAAGCTATATGCCAATTGGTGGGAATTTCATCCTGAATGAGCAGCCGTCATTGGTGATACTCACGAAGAAGAATAAACAAAAATGACAAGTGTCGAGTACAGAGTTCGAAAGATACTCATATGGTAGACTTCTGACTCCAGACTGACTATGGGTTGCTGAGGTAGCGAGCATGAACACTCGGTAACTAATATCACGTAACTGCCGAGTGGCCCTGGAGAATAAACTGATCGAGGAACAGTAAAAGTCGTACGTTCAAAGCAGATTCAAAAGTGGCAAAGTTTTTTCAATGCCTTCCAAAAAGCAAATTGGCGACTTTCGCAAATGCTATCTGAACTCACCAATTCCGGCGTTTCTTGAACCCAATCGACATTCAATGGGGGCGTCGGATATACAGGGTCGTGATGCATTTCACGCCATGAGGACACAACGACTACTTGCACATCTAGGTGACTACAGTATTCAGCCACTGTGTTCAAACGTGACTGGAACAGTTCTTCGAAGGTGTGTTCATGATGGGTCTACAATTGAGTAGTGCAGTGAAAAGTACTTAGAGAAACAGAATCTAACAGATGGCGGTATTTGCTCATGGGTGGGTACTTGCACGATGACGTCGGTGACCAACAAACATCGCGTTAAGCATACATCCGTGGCTGTTAGCTGTAAGGGGGAGCATAATACTTTCTCAGATATTTTGTCAGACAAGTCAAAGTGTAAACAAAATCACCACCGATAATTGATAATGATAATAATCAATCACCGATAATGTGGCACGGCAGTATGATAATGAAATCGATACGTGAAAATCATATCTGAACCCACACGAACTCCAAATAAACTCAACAAAAGCAACCATGGGACGGAAACATGGTGCTTACATATCTAAATCACCAATATATTACGAAAGAAATAAAAAGCTTGAAAAGGACAAGTAACTTCACACAGTAGGATAAATTGAGCCGGCTGAGGATCAAGATAGAACGTGCAGCTGTGTACAGTGGTGAGGCAACATTGTGAACCCGATTCTGTGCATTGGTGAGATGCTCCGCACGTTTTGAAAGGAAAACTAGAAACAAAATCCTCTGAAAAACTATCGATCGAGCCTATATTCTGAAGAGTTTATCGTCCGTTGCAATTCCAGGTGACGACTATTTACCAGAAAATGTTATGAACGATCCTCTCGAGTGTCGACCGCATAGTTGTCACACATAACAAGTAAGTGACGAAAATGATATGACCACTGATTCAAAAATATTAAGCCACAGAGGTATGGACATGCAACTGGCAAACGCAATGTAGGTGGCAATGCCCCGATAGTAACAAATGCTACATATCCGGGTTTTGTCCAAATCGAAGCTGCTTTGACTACATCTTCACACTACGTCAGTTGTGAGGTAACGCCACGTATACTGACGACCCAACCTAGTGGTGTTCATTGACATCAAAAATGCATTCGCCATTTGGGACTATCTGATTCAGAAAGGTGTGCCAGGAAGATAGGCAAATACCATAATAGCGCGGTCTGCGTGTACCCAGAACGGAATGAAGACTTTTGGCAAGCGCTCACTGCCCTTCAATATCTTCATCGGCTCGAGACAAAAACGCATGTTGTCATTTTTCCTTTTCAACTTCATTGCGGAAGTTGTGATAACTGCGTTCATAGTTCCCCATGTATAAGATGTAGATCTGCTTCCCAATGATGAAATTCTTGCGATGGAGTGTGCCGATGACATTGCACTAATCGGTGACAGCGCACAAACGTGCCAAACAGCATCGTACAGCGCTAGCCGTCAAATATTTCGGTCTGTGCTTTATACTAACAAGGACTGACAGGATAATTAATGGAAGTGTGCCATCGGTGAACAAATGTACCCTAAGGACGAGGCAGACGACCTGTGTGAGACGAAACCCTGCGCTGACCCTTGGTGGGGATCAACTAGAAGTTATTCAGAATTCCAAATATATTGACAGTCAAATCAGCAATTGTGGGATAGATGTGGTGGCGAACCGCATATCAAAGTCTTCGCCACTCATGGCATCGGCACGGCATCCCTCTCGCCCCGAAGGGTACCGCCTACAATGCAGACGTCAGTTCAACAGTTGTGAAACCTGGCCTATTAAACCGCCACGGGTAAAGGGGCTAGTTACGTTCAACCACCGGTGGCTTCGCAACTGCCCTCACATTCGGTGGGAAACCGGGTCAGCAACGAGCGTCTTCGCAGTTTGGATTTTGGCGCATGAAGAGGAAGTGTACCGTGCAGCACTGCCAATTCTCACACTAGCCTACGATTTCACAAAGACGACTCACGCGACGTGCGTTGTTTGGTTAACCAGAATCTTGAAGGAGCAACAAAAAGTGAAGCCGGCAGATAAATAAGCTAAGAGAAAAGAAGGCGCTCATTTCGGGACCCGAAAGAGGATGGACATTTTGGGTGGAGGCAATTGTTGAGAAAGTCAAGCACCGACCTCAGTGGAGTTTGTGTTACAAATTTACTTGTCCATTTCCATCCAACCATGGTCTAATATCTGAGGAAATACAGCAAGCAAGGGATAATGTCATTTGTTATGCTTCACTTTTCCTTGTTGCGACTAACTGATAGATTTGTATTACCATGGCATTTCTCGCGTCCAGTAAACGCGTAAAATGACAACGCTGGAGTTTTTGTGCGCCTGGGGTAAGAAAGCGAACCCCCTATGATAGTACTGGTCAGCTTGTGACAGCGAGTGATTTCAGAGAGGGTCGTGGTGAACCCAGAAGCTGCAAAAACGACGATGATGGGTGCAACTCACGAATGGTTCGGGGGGGGTGTGGAGGAGGGAGGAAATGTGATGACGGAACAACTATCCGCATTGCGCTAATGCTTTAATTACAAAACGACTAAAAAGGTGCCAGTCAGACTACGCCAGGAGAGACGACAGAAAACAAACTACCAGGAGAAATAGTGTGTTCAGCCGGCTCATCTTGAAACACCGCGGCTAATGCATATAAATGGGTCACATGAACAAGCTCCGTTTTGTATACATATAAGACGACTCAAGAAGCAACAAAAAATCGCAAACCGAGTGACCCAACATTGATTCGCAGCGCCAACAGTGTTGAGCTGAAGTGTAGCTATGACCTGATCAAGCGAAATGAATGCTCTTAGTTCGAAGTTGGCCTCAGTTGGAGCCTTTCGGCTCCCTGGTTAGGGTCCGAAAGACGATGAACACGTTTGGCTGGATACACTTGTTAAGATGGCTAGAAGCCGACCATAGTGGCTTAGCCTTCCCCAAAAAAGCACGGTTTCGCTTTATATGCATAAGATAACAATACTTTTCGCGGTTGTTAGCTCTCCCGAACGATGTTCATTCGTTATCGGTGACTCAGCTGGCGTGCCTAGGTAGCATTTTATTTCTTTTCTAATGTACTGCGGCACAATAGATGAGGTGTTTTTCACCTCGAATTAACATGTATAATGAGGACGATTTAGCGCTTTCAGTTAAAGATGCAATTAAACTGAGTTTACAGTGGCATTGGGTGCATGGCAAAGTGTATGAGAAATGCAGTGCTAGAAAGCTAGGCTGACTTGTCGAACAACCTCCTCGTGATGCCAGCTGGGTGGTTCGGGATTATCCCTTTCCAGTGTTCTAGGGCGTGGTGGATTTTCGCCGGGAAATCGTTCTCCCTATAAAAAGCCACATATCTCCGGTTAACAACACTGTGACGGGGCGTATGTGACTCGCCACTGAGTGGCATGGTAATTCAAGGGTGTGTTGGGCCCCTGGTCCTATGCGGTCCTAAAGGCGTATGAACCACGTTTGGTCACTGGCACCCAAAGGGCTGCGATAGCCTCATATCGCCCTGCTGCCTTATAGCTTAGATCCTGAATCAAAGGTTCCGGGTGGGGCCCCATAAGACAACGTTCTACTTCGTCCTGGGCAACCGGGTAGTATCTCGTCCACTGACAACCCATGCAGGGATCATCTCCTTCCCACCCACAATAAAACACATCAAAAAACGCAAAAACTGCGAGTGGAAAAATGGACAAAAAATTTGTTTGTTTTCTTTCTTCATTTAATCTAACCCTGTTTTCCTATTCCGCCATGGTTTCGATGGCACAATATCTGTACACACATTATATATATATATATATATATATATATATATATGTGACAACAATGCGACGATTTGCGCATCGGTGTCAGGGAAGAATGCAGCATTTGCTGCACATGTTGCAGACCCCAGTGACTTGGGGAAGCGTAGTCAATTTCGCAAACTTCGACGGCGACTGACCCGAGAGGTCCGTCGCATAAAAAATGCATGGTGGACGGAGAAGGCGAAGCAGATGAAATACTACGCCGAACGCCGCCAACACAAGGAATTCTTCGACTCCTTGAAGGCGGTGTATGGACCGAGATTGGAGCCGCTGAGGACGCTGATCGATGGTAGTTCAGGCGCTACCTGCACACAGACTGAAGACATAATGCAGGTCTAGCGAAAACATGTTGACAGTCTGTTGAACAACCGTTCAGAGATCGACTGGTCTACACTGAACCGCCTAAAGTAGCACGATGTGAAGACGAGTCTGGCGGACACGCCGACACTGGATGAGACGCAGAGAACACTTGCTCAGCTGTGAAACGGCAAGTGGGCTGGGGCCGACGGGATCCCGCCTGAAGTTTAAAAACACGGCGGGCCCGCGTTGTTGACTGCGCTGCACCACATGGCGCAACGCGTATGGATTGAGGAGGAGGTGCCTGCTGAGCTGAAGGATGCCCTTGTGCTACCCCTGTACAAGGACAAAGGGAGCAAGCAATGTTGCACGTAGCATCAACTTGCTGAGTTGTGTGGGCAAGATGATTGCCCAAATCCTGCTCAACCGCCTCCTCAGACAGGTTGTGGAATCGAATGTGGCGGAAGAGCAATGTGGATTTCGCTCGGGTCGCAGCACTATAGATATGGGTGTTTGCGGCTCGTCACTTGCAGGAGAAGTGCAGTGCACGACATCAGCCGTTGTACTCGTTTTTTGTTGATTTCACCAAGGCATTTGATACAGTGAACCGCGAGGCATTGTGGCTGGTGTTGGGTAAGTTTGCTTGCCCGCGTAAGTTTGTAAGTTTAATTGAATGCCTGCACAGTGGTATGCGAGCGAGGGTGCAGCTGAGTGGAGAGACCTCGGATGACTTTGCAGTTGTCTCTGGTGTGAAGCAAGGCTGTGTCTTAGCTCCTGCCCTGCTTAATATATATCTTCATGCAATAATGTCGTGTGCTTTTGATGCGACTTATGCTTACGCTGTTCGTGTGGAGCACCGTACTGATGGTGGGCTGCTGAACATCCGTCGTTTCGGTGCGAGAACTCTAGTCTGTGAGGGAACTATCCGTATGTTGCTGTTTGCTGACGACGGTGCGTTGTTTGCACACAGCGCGAATGAGTTGCAGCATATGACTAGTGCTCTGGCTTCGACAGCAGCCAAATTCGGGCTCACCATCAACACAAGCAAAACTGCCTATCTTTTTCAGCATTGGTGCTGAACTATTGGA